AAACGTTCACTACCTGCTTCATAGTTCACCCACTTCCTGGTTCTCATGGAAACTCAAACCAATGTCTGAAAATGGCTCTTTGTTTTACATGTGGTTTATCAGTATGAGTGTAATTGGTTTCAGAAAGACACTGGCACCTAAGATCTGTGCAAACAACATTTTTAAAAACTAACAAACAAAATGTATTTGAATATTAAGATATTAAACACTATACATTATGTGATCTTATAAGATGTTTTTATCTGTCAGATCCAAAATTGGGGCATTCAGGGGTTCCTAAAAAAGATGTAAAAAAAAAACAAAACAGCTTGACAGGCTGCTATGCCTGCTGAAAAACAACAGCCTGTACACATTCTTTCCTAATGAGTTCACCTGAAAACATTATAATGTTGCAGTATGTTAAACCACTAGATACAGAGCTCATGTCAGACTCAACACATTCAGCAGGCATCACTTTTCTAAGATTTGACAAACCTGCAAATCATCATGATGAGGCATATTAACTGAACATCATTATGAACAAATATTATCTCAGATCATGTTTTTTAAAGAATCAGCACAGAGACGTCAGTGGTGAAGGTTCTGGTTCTGACCGAGACATGTAAAAACTGTCTATTTGATCCAGCATTTATTCTGGTTCTATTGGATCTTACAGCACCATTTGAGACACAGATCACTATATTCTTTTAGATACACAGCGACATACTGTTGGTCTCTCTGGGTTTGTTTTTATCTGTTTAAAAAAAATAAATATATATATATATATATATATATATATATATATATATATATAATATATATATATAATATATATATTTGTGTTTCTCACCTTCCACGGTGGTTGGTCTCTCACCCTCATTCAGCTCGGGTCGTCTACCAGAGGCCTGGGAGCTTGAGAGTTCTGCGCAGTATCTTTGCTGTTCCCAGTACTGCACTTTTCTGGACTGAGATGTTCCGTTGTTTTTCCCGGTATCTGTTGTAGCCACTCTTCCAGTTTGGGGGTTACAGCCCCGAGTGTCCGATCACCACAGGCACCACTGATGCCTTTACTTTCCAGGCTCTCTCCAGCTCTTCCTTGAGCCCCTGGTATTTCTCTAGCTTCTCGTGTTCCTTTTTTCCTGATATTACCATCGCTTGGTATTGCGATGTCAACCACCACGGCTCTGCTCTGTTTCTTATCCACCACCACTATGTCTGGTTGGTTCGCCATCACCATTCTGTCAGTCTGTATCTGGAAGTCCCACAGGATCTTGGCTCGGTCATTCTCCACAACCTTTGGAGGTGTTTCCCACCTTGATCCTGGGGTTTCCAGCCCGTACTCTGCACAGATGTTTCTGTACACTATGCCCGCCACTTGGTTATGTCGCTCCATGTATGCTTTCCCTGCCAGCATCTTACACCTGCAGTTATGTGCTGGACTGTCTCAGGAGCCTCTTTGCACAGTCTACACCGTGGGTCTTGTCTGGTGTGGTAGATCTGGGCCTCTATTGCTCGAGTGCCCAGGGCCTGCTCCTGAGCAGCCAGGATCAGTGCCTCTGTGTGTCCTTCAGACCAGCCCTCTCAAGCCATTGGTAGGATTTCTTGATATCAGCCACTTCAGTTATGTTCCGGTGGTTTGCCCCCATGTAGGGGTTTGTCCTGCCATGATGGTCCCTCCAGCACCTCTTCCTCTGGACCCCACTGTCTGAGACATTCTCTGAGCACCTCATCTGCTATTATATATATATATATATATATATATATATATAATATATATATATATATATATATATATATAATGATCAGGTCTAGTCGGCTTTAGTTTCTTCTTTTCTGTTGTGGCCTTTTCTTTCTCAGATCTCGTCGTGCTGTTGTTTTACTTTCAGTTTGTTTTTTTTTTTGTGTTTGTTTTTCCTTGTGTTGAATGTTTTGCGTGGAATCTTGTAGAAGATATTGTATTTGTTCTCCAGCTGGATTCTGTCTTTCTGTCTTTTGCTGGTAGTTGTCTTATCTTAGTTTGTGTGGCGAGTCGTTTTAACATTTAAATGTTAAGCTGCATGTGTATTGCAGATATTTCTCTCTCAGTTTTGCCTAGTCAAAAAGAACATTTTGGATATTCACAACGACATTCTTCTCAGGGCAAATGACGTCACCTTTGACATTCATTTGTATGAGTTTATAATTACTGACATCCACAATTCATTTATGAATATCCACAATGTAAGTTACAGATATCTGCAACTGAATTATAGATATCTGTAATTCCAGTTTGAGATTCTACTATTTGATTGTGACTAGTCATAACTCAAGTTCAAGGTCTGTTTAATTCACCTCAGCTGAAGATATCTACATGTTCCTTTACAGATATTTTAAATTAAGTTTTGACTAGGCCAAATGATGTTGTAGAAATGTCTAAGTGGAATTACAACTAGTCAGAATAATGTTGTAAATATCTCAAACTGGAGTTTGGAATAGTCATAATTTAGTTTTAAATATCTCTTGTGTCTTGTAATGAATTTTGATTAGAGATCTGAAATTGGAGATATCCATAAATTTCATTGTGCCTCGTCAAAATATAATTACAGATATCCTGAACCTGGAGTTTTGACGAGGTGAAATGACGTTGCAGAGATCTGTATGCAAATGATCTCACTTTAGGCAGGAGCGGAGCATTTGGCACCTGCAGCTGTTAACAGAAAGTTCATTTATCAGTGGGCTGTTTTTGTTAAGGGACTCTAGTGAAACATTTGTTAAAAATGATATTAACGACAAAAAACAATTTTAACACTGACGGTTGTTTAACAAATGGTTTTAGACGGATTGTTGCTCTGCGAGTCGCCCGAGACAACCTGGTGCTTTCTGTGTCACGATGTCATAATGACGTTTAAGATTTCTTTAACTTTCAATCTGCCTTGTCAAAACTGAATAACAAATATCTGCAATTGTCATTTGTGATGTGTGATGAGTTGAATGTTGTTTTCAATGATGTAATTTTGTCTAGTCAAACTGAGTTGCAGATATCTCTAACTGTCCTTCACCAAGTCAAAATTTACATTACAGACTCTCAAATGACAATTCCCACTATCCAAAATTAAATTACACCGAGTCGTAAAGACGTTGTTGATATCAACAATTTTAATTCTGGAAAGTCAAACTTAACATATAAATGTTAAAATGGCTTGTCATAAGTATGTGGTTTTAGTTTCACTACAATCTGTTCCAGAGTCTGTTCCAGAAGGACGGAGGAGCTTCCATTTCTATGATCACCTCCTTTCCCACACTGAAGCACTTTGCCCATTCTTCTCTGTCCATGTGTTCATCCAGTTTACTCTGCAGCTTCTCTTTGACCTTCTTCCTCAGTTCATCAGAAAGAACCTTCTCCTCCTCTTCCAAAATTATCTCTTGCCAGTCCCCTCTTTGTGTGCACTCTGAGGTGTTATGGACACATGATGCAACAAATGCCAAAGAGAATAAAACCAGGAGAAAAGACAGACCGATCACCTGAAAGAGAAGATAATAACAAACAATAACAGCAACTCTTCACATAAAAACTTAAGATCTAGAGTTGTTCTGATATCATTTTTTTTTAATCCAATCCGATACTTGGCCTTGGTGTACTCGCCGATACCGATACCAGTCCGATACCACATGGTGAGACGTGCATAAAGAGCAAAAAATAAATCTTCTAAAAGGCTTTTTTTTATTAGTAAGAATAAATTAGATTTTAAAGGTCAAAGTATTAGTCAAATGTATAATGGTCTTGACTATAAGTTGTGCTGCTTTAAGTGTTTACACTTTTCTTCTTCATCACTTTCTACCACAGCGCAGAGATTAAGAAAACAATGAGGCCTGTAAAAAGACGTTCATCCTCAGAGCACATGGTTAATTATGCAGAGGAAACAAAGTCCATATTAGTGCTGTTCTCCAGCTGGACTCCCTGTAACTTTATAGTTATTTTACTAAGTTGAGCGTCGACACTAAAGGCTAAATGAAGGTATCAAAGAGGAAACACAAATGTCTTTCTGTTATTATTAGTGTGTTTTAAATGTTTACAGAACCTCCACAGTCTGTGTTTAACCTGCTCTGTGCGTTAGTGGAAGCACAGAGAGACTCACCCTGGATACATCTTTGATGTCTTTGAGAATGTCTCGCTCTTCGTCCGTGCGCTGGCTTTCGTTCTTACAGGAGATGTTGTGGTGTGAGTGGTCCAAGCAGCAGACGCTCCAGTCACCGTCTATGAGAACTGAGACGGGCCAAATACAACTCACAAAAATCGCACTGCACAAATGTGAACATAAGAAACAGAAGCAGCCAATGGAGCGACTTCGACAGCCCTTCTGAAAGACTCTGTCCATCCACAGCTGAGCCATCAGGATTATGAAAAATGGCAGAAGCATGTACACAGGACAGTCTCGATCCAGATTCTTGCAGGTGCAGATCAAATCTTTCTCAAAGAGGAGGTGGTAGCTGAAAGCCAGGATGACCACTACATACAAATTTATCCTCTGTAGAACATGTTTGACCAGTTGGCCAACCATATCGTGATAGTTCTCCATCCTCAGACCTCAAAAATGTATTTTCATTTATTTTGGGTGTGATTGACCCGCCCCAAGAGAGCAGGAAGGAAAAAAAATGTTGCTTTGGGTCTCTGTGACCCCAAGGAGAGCGTGAGGGGTAATTACAGCTGATCTACTCTTTATGCTGCTTAGACTGTTCATGTTTATCAAAGGTGTGCTGCTCTATTTGTCTACTTTGTGTTCATGTCTATACAAGCTTTATACAGCAGCGAAACATCATCAGCTCTCATTCTGAGAGAAGGCTGAGGATGGAGCAGTATCACGATGTGGTGGGACAACTAATCAAATATTTTCAACAGCGTATAAATCTGTATGTAGTGGTCATCTTGGCTTTTAGCTACCACTTCCTCTTTGAGAAAGACCTGCCCTGCACCTGTGGCAATCCGGTGCTAGACTGTATATGGTACATGCTTCTGCCATTTGGCATAATCCTGATGGCTCAGCTGTGGATGGACAGAGCCTGTCAGAGGAGCTGTCGAGGCTGCTCCTGGAACTGCTTCTGTTTCATACTTTCACGTTTGTGCAGTGTGATTTTTGTGAGTGGTATTTGGCCCATCTCAGTTCTCATAGACGGAGACTGGAGTGCCTGCTGCTTTAACAAAATAGTCCATGAGATCTCCTGTAAGAACGAAAGCCAGCGCACGGATGAAGAGCGAGCCACTCTCAGAGAGATCAAAGATGCCTCCAGGGTGAGTTTCTCTGTATCTTAAGTTTATATGTGAAGAACTGCTCTTATTGTCTGTATCATCTCTTTCAGGTGATCGGTCTGTTTGTTCTCCTGGTTTTATTCTTTTTAGCATTTGTTGCATCATGTATCCATAACACCTGTGAGTGCGCACGAAGAGGGGACTGGCGAGAGATAGTTTTGGAGGAGGAGAAGATTGTTTCTGATAAACTGAGGAAGAAGGCCAAAGATGAGATGAAGATCAAACTGAACGAACTCATAGAAACACCAGATTGGGCAAAATGCTTCACTGTCGGAGACGAAATCATCAATAGACCTCCAACTCACCGAGTGCCCCCCTCTGGAACAGCCTCTGGAACAGCCTCTGGAACAGCCCAGTGCCTCCCTCTGAGACAGGGACAGCTTGATGTACCTCCTCGTGACCCTTGTGAGTCTGAGACTGAACCTTTACTTGAGCACATGGAAGAAGAGATTGTGTAATACAAACATGTAGGAGAAACTTTGGTAGTATTTTTGATAGTTATGGATAAAGTTTTCTGTCAGAAAGAAGCCAATATAACTAATATAACGAGAAATGAACATGGAAACTCTAGTGCCTCAAACCATGAAAGGAGAAAGTAGATAAATCTGTTTAACTTGTTTGTATTTCTTAAAAAGTAGAGTGGAGCACCAAGATCTCACCTAAAGTGTTAATGTAGTGAGACACATGACTCTTTATTGTGAGTTTGTGAATGATAAATGTTTTATAATGAGATAAAGACAGTGTGGCAGTGACCTGATTATTGTCAAAGTTTTGCTTTTACAGTTGAATTTATGGGGGAACTGTGATAATTCTGCAGAAATATGCAAAAAGTCAAATTCATCCAATCTTAAATCACCTAACTTTTTCTATATTTGATAAATCTACACATGATTTGTGTTTTTTAATACAAATTTTAATTGTGAATTGTTAAATTAAAACATATCTTGCAGCTTGATGTTGGTGGTGTTTCTTTCTCTCTGATGGAGATCAAGGTTATAAATATGGCTTCATGTTTCATTTTAATACTGGAGCGACAGAGACACTGTTGTGAAAAGCACTAGGCCCTACACCCAGTGATCCAAGTACAAAAGCTTGTCCACTGGAAACTTACCTACGTCTAACTAGACAGAAAAACAGATATTACAAGTGGCTAAATGGCACAAGATGTATATGTAATATTTTTCATTGTCACCTGTTTTGAGTTATTATGGTGTGAACATATTTAAACTTCCTCTTGTACGTCTTCTTATTTCTTCTTATTTCTTTATTTCTAAAGGGACAGCACATATTAATGAACATTTAAGTACAGCAACAATCACACACAAGTACATAACACCAGCACACCCACTGTACACACACTGTACACACACAACACACACTGTACACACACTATATAAACAACACACTGTACACACACTGTACAAACAACACACTGTACACACACTGTACAAACAACACACTGTACACACACTATACACACAATTCACTTCAGACAGTTCATTTGACATTTGAAGTGAAGAGTTAAAGAGTTAAACCAACAACCCCTCAAAATAAAAAAAATATTTGGTTAAACATGGCGACATATTTGACCATTGAACATTTGTTTTAAAGCTTTACTAAATGCTGTAGTGTTGAAAGTTCTTGTATCTGAGCTGCTCTGTGTTCCATGTTTGAGCTGCTTGATAAACAAAAGAGAGCTGTGTGAAAGCACTTTTCCTAAACGGCTCAGAGCAGTCGCCTCTAGAGCTGCTCTTGTTGTCCAGTTTGAATTTCTTTTAACAAACTCCTTTAGATGAGGTGGAGATTACTAAAAACTTTGCACATCAAAATTAAAGGTTGTATGGAGGATTTTTTTTTTGTTTGTTTCAAATTGTCAATGAAAGTTTAAAATACCATTACAGAGATGCAGCAGCCTTGTAATTATGATGACCAAAAACAAAAAAGAATGAAAATCTATCAACTGTGGACGTAGTGAGGCCAGATAAACATCCGCCAATAGACAACAAGGCTACCTCTTTATCTATTGGCTGTTCGGTTGTCAATCAAACTCCCTAGTGTAACTGACTCACCAGCGCGCGGGGATTACATCGTTTATGCAGAGGTTCTTAGAGGCTTTTTTAAACTGTAGCTTCCTCGTATTTCGCACAAAGTTTGTTGCGATGGCGGACGAGAATTTACGACCAGTTCACCGCAAAAGAAAATCCATTTTTGAGGTCACTGAAAGAAGAAGAGAAGGGAAAAGGAGCGAAGACAAAATGAGGTGATTCTTGGAGATCTCTTCCAGCGATGGCGCGAATGAAACAGCCAAAGAGTCTAAAAACTGACGCAGCAGTCGCTAAATTACTTCAAGACAGGTCACTTCAACAGTAATTCTGAATGCGCACTGGACGTAAACCGCACAGAGCGTTTATGTGAATGGACATATATTCTAGACCAGGGGTCTCAGACTCGCGGCCCTGGGGCCAACTGCGGCCCTCGGAAGGATTTTTTGCATCCCTCCACTTAATTCCAAAGAATAATGTCAGTGAAGCTGCAATCGGTGCCCATACAGATTCACAACAACAGATTATTAAACTTAGATTACAGCTTACATCCCAAAACTCAATTTACAGCAGTTGTGAAGCAACGAGTCTAAGTGGATCTGTTAATACAAGTACACGTGCACATACGGCGTCACCGAAGAACCAAAAGCTCCCACAGTATCAGAGCAGAGGAGGCGCTGACAGAATTTCCCTGTTCATAAGTATGGGACCTTTATTGGAGGGGCTAATAAGAAATAAAAATACTTTGACAGTCTGTTTACCTGCTCAACACTTGGTGCGTAACTTGCTGGCAACACGATGACCAAGCTCCACCTGTGCGTCGCTGAAATCCACGCGCACTCAGTGGCAAACACAGCTGTCCCATCAATATGCAAGCACCACAAAACCGCAGTGATCTATTCCAGAGGCTTGGCGACATGTTAGCAAAAAGTACGAGGCAAAAACAAGCGTCTTCCATCCATGTTTGACATATGAGAAGCAGATACACTCCAGTGTGATCCGCTTTCACACCGGCAAACGAACCAAAACTGGTCTGATTAACGAGCCTCTGTATCCCAGTAGAACAGTGATATCTCCAGTAACCAATACTGATGTTCCCTGTTAATACCGCGGGCCGTCCTCATCTTATCACCATGAACTCAAAAACAGCAACGTAGAACTTACTACAAACTCACCGCATCAGCCCAGAGTTCGGGTAACAGCAGCAGCCAACAGCGCTCACCGTAGCGCGCAGCTCCTCAGGACAGCGCTGGGGTCTGGTCCTTGGTCAGTGACTGGGTCTGAGCGGGTACGTTCTGCCGTCTGCGCGCTGGTTCCGTGCGGGGAAAGTGAGAATGCGCTGTGGACTACAGGTCTGTGCGGGCTGATCCGGTCCTCCGCACTCAAGAACCGCGGCTGGTTCCGAGGTGGTGCAAAGCATCCGGACAGAAGCATGAATCCAGTTTAGTTGGTGTCCGCATTTGGTTCTTCCCGGGGAAAGCGCTTTTCACTCCCCGCTCCACGTCATCTGAGCCCGGCCAGAACCGGAGCTGCATCTTCGGGACTCTGGTTTGGATCTAGTCCGACTGTATTTCTCACACTAGGCTAAAAGCAGGACATTTTTTAAAGGTGAATCAATTGAATGGGCGATTGCCTATTGCCATGAAATTATTTGGTTAATTAAAGCCGAAAATAACAAATGCTGGTTCCTACATGATCACGGGGAACACCGGGACCTCTGTGCAGGTCCTGCACAGAAGTACACACCCCCAACTTTGACTCACTCTGGAGCCACACGTTCCCATGTTCTTGCTCTGATCTTTGTGTGTTACATTCTCTGTATTGGCCATTGTTGGTAAAATAATTCAAAAATGAATCGCGGCTGCATCTGGACAACAATCTGTTACTGCGCTGGAGTCGTACAGCGCGTCATTACAGGCAGAGGAGACGCGTTTCTCCCATGATGCGTTTGGAATAGTTCGTTTGGACCTGCAGTCTATGGTTTGGACCCGGGTTCGCGTTCACACAAGTGTGAAAGTGTGTGAAAGCACCATCAAACTACAGGTCAAGGCTCACTGATGAGCATCTTCAATCCATCCTGAGGATCTCATGTGCTTCCTCCTGCAAGCCAAACATCTCTCAGCTGTGCAAGATGAAGTGTAGCCAGGTTTCAACCAGCAAGAAGTAGGCAAAAGAAGAAGAGTAGACGTATTAGTTTAAACTTACGTTCTAAATATATTTTCATGTTCTGAACTGTTATTAAAGATTAAGAAAGTGTGATGCGTGTTGTTCTTTCTCTCTCTTCATTTCCCGTGCAACCGCTATTTATCGAATACTCAATGGGGCCCAGCCTCACTCAGACTTTATCTAATGCGGCCCCCAGGTAATTTGAGTTTGAGACCCCTGTTCTAGACTCTTAGCGCATAGACCTCGATGTGCATCCATAAATCAAAAACGATGGGGACAAGGCGACGGCGGCAGAGTGCGATGAGCCGACGCAGAACTATAATTCGCCCTTAACGCAAAACCGCCTGAAGTCACATAGTCACATAACTAGGCTGGTGTCACGTCGTCACAATGTCACAACATCATCACGTCACGTGGGCGGTAAAAACAAGGAAGTGGAGCACCATGTCTGAAGTTGCAGCAGCGGATTTTGAGCCGAGGAAGATGGCAAGTGTGAAAACAGTCTTTTCGTGGACTGTGAACTAGCGAGTAGTTGTAACTCCGCTGTTTCCTGTTTATCTCTGGTTTGTTTAAACTGTTTTCCGCAATAGTGTCACATGACAGATGTCATGAACCCAGCGAATCAGGAAGGAGCAAGTCACAGTGACATGGTCCAATAAGGACGCGACTAGAACTCCTACGTCAGAGTATCAGCATTTTCAGGTGTCCACACAGCGCCGGATCAGATCTGTACTCAGATGAATTCGTGGGAGCTGGAGGCACCAGATCGTTCCGTCTCTGGAGCCGTTTTCCATCGATTAGTGGGAACGAACACTGCATCCACAACGAAAACAACTTGAATACGAACTAGTGTGGACGGGGCCTGAGAAATTTGTATTTGTCACATATTCTGCAATAGTGATAATTATTGGGCTTTTTGTCTATTACCTTCAGTGCTTTTTTATAAATAGTTTCAGCTAATTTAAGTAGTTTCGCACTTGTCAGAGTCCAACTAGTGATGCGATAATTTAGATGTGGCAAATCGAACTGAGTTTGTTGTTTGATTATTTCTTATATGATGAAAATTTGATGAACTATATTTGATTTTATTCACTGTTCTTTTTGACATGTTGTGTGGACGATAGTTGTGGGTTCAGTGTGACTCCCAGATACTTCACCTCATGGACCAGTTTCAGTTTTGTTCCAAGCACAACTACATCTGCGTCTGTATCCATGCCAGGTTTTTTTTTTTTTTTTTTTTTTTTTTTTTTTGAGAAAAACCAACCAACTTACTTTGAGATATTAAGATGTGATTGTGAATGTTGTAGCCAGTTTGCTCTGACATAGCACCTGCAGCTTATCATTTGTTTTTAGAGTAAACATACAAAACTGCATCGTCATGTAATGTACACCCTAAACAGCAATGGACCCAGTATCGAGCCTGTTTTTAAAAAGGTAACATAAAGCAGTTTCTGTGGAATGGTATTTGCGAAAGCCAAACTGCATTGGGTTTCGATTGTAAGGGCTTGTATTTAGATGCTCGGTAAGTAGCTCTGTGACCCATTTTTTAGATTACTGGCAAAATATTAACTGACCTTTAGTTATTGATTAAAGTGGGGTCGCCCTGTTTGAAGATTGGCATAATGACTCCAAACTTCCAGGGACTTTGAAAAATAACTTCTTGAAGAGATTTATTGATAATATTTGAA